TTTTGGAGGCGAGAGAGGACTTGCTCGGTGAGGGAGGGGTCGAGGCAGAGGTTGGATTGGGAGAGGGTTTGTTCGAGGAGGGAGGTCGGGGTAGTGAGGATGAGGTTGGAGATGAAGGAGATTGGGTCACCGGAGGTGAGAGGTGATCGCCGTAGAGACCGAGAAGTGGAGGTTTTGATCATGGTGATGTCGAGAAATGGAGAAGGAGACGCGGCTCTTTCGATAAATTCGAAGAGTGCTCTGTTCGAATCTTTCGATGTTTAGGAGGTCGAGGACTTTGGGTTCAAAGTTCTAGTAGAAACAGTATCTTGGATGATTCATACACTGAAAAAGATTTTTACTGTAATCTATACTTCTCAAAATTATAACCAGAGCTATTCATCTTTACAGGTCGTCACGGTTTGGAGGTTCTAATATGACTCTCACAATACTTCAATTCGATTCGAGACTAGGCTATCGGAAAAAAAAATTAGTTAGTAACCAATGTTGATAGTCTGTTACCTAACAATAACCGTACTGATATTAACTTTGATGCCAAAACATATAAGCTGATTATTATGAAACAACATTGAAATTTGACAACTTATTATAAAACCGTTATTTTTTTCATTATTGTGAGCGCGAGACACCTCAGGGTATCTTGGGTGTCTCGGCGGGTGCCGAGACACCTCGGGGTGTCTCGGGCGTAACCGGAGCGAGCGGGTTGTTTCCGTTTGGATCATGTTTCCTTGATATAAATACGAACTTCGTTCCTAGGGTTTTTTGCAAAGTAGAGGGGTTGTCATGAACGAAAAAGAGAGAGTTTTTCAGATCTGAAAAATGTGAGATCTTGAGGAGAGAAAAGAGAGAGTGCTTGGAGAGATTGTACAAGAAAGATGTCTCTTGGGTAAAATCAAAGCCTCATCTATGGGACGAGCTTGTGGGTTGCGCAAGTCGTCGGTGTTCTCCATCATAGTGAAATCTCCCTTCTCCCCCGCTCCCCGTGGACGTAGGCAAGTTTGTCGAACTACGTAAATCTCATGTCTTCTTTATTGTTTTCTGTGTATTTGCCACTGATTGTCGTTCTCTCAATATTCAGATCTAGATTTGATATCGGGAAGAGTGTATATCTCACCTTGCTGAGATATTCACTTCTGTTCTTGTTTCATATCGAAACTGGAACATCGAGGTTCGCTTGAGTTTTGTGAAAACAAAAGTTAGGACTTTCTCTCGAGGTGATTTGCTTCCGCGGCGAGTGGACGTGTCGGCCCCCAACAATTATAACACTACTTGTGTTAGGGACTAAAGTCCCACATCGGGTAGTATGGGCTGCTTGATGGGGTATTTAAGTGACTTGGTTCTTCCCCCTTAACAGCTAGCTTTTAAGGGTGGGTTCCCCAAGTTGCTTGGATCCTCACAATTGGTATCAGAGCTGGTTGTCGGCGTCACGAAAAGGGCTACCTGTGAAGGGGCTGACCAGCGGAGGGGCTGACCGGATAAGTCCGAGTAAAGCACCGCCGAGTGAAGCATCATAGAGTGCAGCCGCCGGGACGTCGGCTCTCAGGGGCGTTGCTATGTTAGGGACTAAAGTCCCACATCGGGTAGTATGGGCTGCTTGATGGGGTATTTAAGTGACTTGGTTCTTCCCCCTTAACAGCTAGCTTTTAAGGGTGGGTTCCCCAAGTTGCTTGGATCCTAACAATTGGTATCAGAGCTGGTTGTCGGCGTCACGAAAAGGGCTACCTGTGAAGGGGCTGACCGGCGGAGGGGTTGACCGGAAAAGTCCGAGTAAAGCACCGCCGAGTGAAGCATCATAGAGTGCAGCCGCCGGGACGTCGGTTCTCAGGGGCGGTGCTATGTTAGGGACTAAAGTCCCACATCGGGTAGTATGGGCTGCTTGATGGGGTATTTAAGTGACTTGGTTCTTCCCCCTTAACAGCTAGCTTTTAAGGGTGGGTTCCCCAAGTTGCTTGGATCCTCACAACTTGTTAGAAAAACTATTAAAATCCATTAAATTTCTACCATTTTCTCTAAAATGTGTAAACTCTTCTTCCTCGATATACTGCAAACTGCTCTCCCATCACGTCCAACCAAGAAAATGACCGGTGCATAGAGAGAAAATTAGAAGAAAGATCAAGGTGGTCTCTTCAAATCCTTTAATGTCGGCCTCCATTAGATGCACCTTATAGTTTCTAGCTTGTGTTTTGTCTTGAAAAGAATGGGAAAAAATGTAAATGGGAAGAGGAAGATGACAGTATAGAATATATAGATGGGTTTCAACAATTTTTTAATAGCTTAATATTTTGTAATTTAAAAGTTAACTTTTAGATGTTTCATAAAAAGTGACCAAATTCAAGCGGGTTCCATAAAATTATCATCAGTTTTTTTATTCCCCGGGGTGAACTTCAGAACATAATGGACTAGGCCAGCCCAATAGTTATATGATGAAAGTTTCATTTTATATCTTTTATTTATAATAGACCAAGCTGTATAGCCCAAATAAGGGGTGTTACTAGAATTATAAGACTTCTAGCATGATGCTTGAAAACATTGGACACATCGGACAGCATAATGAATCAATGCTATGTTAGATCTAATAAAAACTTGAGATCTAAACCATAAAGCCATGATTTAATTCAAAGAGATTAACAAGAATCAAAATGTGCGGAAGCATATACCTGAATCCAATGAAGAAAACTTGATTAGGGTTTTGATGATCTTCTAACCTTAGGGTTTCTCTCTTATGGATCTCTTTAGATGGGGATAAGAGAATGAGAGTGGTTGACCTTAGATTAGGGACCATAACCCCTTATATATAGGTGTTGTATATTTGTAATTTGGTCCCTCATCAAATTACAATTACAACCTGGTATCTGCACATATAACCCCATGATATATTTAAATACCTATTAACCCAAATTGATTGATCACTTTGGTGGGTTATCCTTAAAGATAGTAATACACATTGATTAATCATATGTGCCCACAAATAGATTTAATTAGATTTAAATCCAACAATCTCCCACTTGGGCACGACTTAACATGTTATTGGATAAAAGAGATACGTTTCATATAATTCAAATCATAAAAAGATATTTCCGAACAATCTCGTCCATTGACTATATCAATATAGGATCAAAGCGGCCTTTGTCACATTTATCGTGACTCGACCCATCAATGGTCACATATACCAATACAATCAAACGACATAGATCAATCATGGATGTGCAGCATGAAAATTACATGCAATGTGATCAGTACATGTCTATTTTCAACTGGTCCTCCTTTAGTGAGTCAAAACCAAACATAATGTAACAGAGTGTCTTAACTGAATACTTTATTCTGATCAGACAATACAACCAAACACAAAGCACCAGAAAATTATAAACTCCCACTAAATCAGGATATCCTTGAATAACACCACTCCCATATGAGTAGTATGCTCATGAAAGACCTTGGATGGCAATCCTTTAGTAAGAGGATCTGCTATCATGGAGTTTGTCCCAATGTGCTCTATAGATATCTGTCCACTCTGTACCCTTTCTTTTATAACCAGGAACTTAATATCAATATGTTTTGATTTAGTTGAGATCCTGTTGTTATTAGAATACATTACTACCCTTTTGACTGCTATCCAATGATCCATACCAGGGTTGCTTAAGTATCTACCTAACATCCCAATAATGTACGCAATATCTGGACGCGTACATACCTGAGCATACATTAAACTTCCTACTGCCGAAGCATAAGGAATCTTCTGCATTTCCTGAATTTCAAGGTTGCCTTTAGGGCACTGATTTAGACTAAACTTGTCTCCTTTAGCAACAGGGGTATCTCCTGGTCTGCAGTCTTGCATGCCAAACCTTTTAAGTACCTTATCGATATAGCTCTTTTGTAATAATCCAAGAATACCCCGAGAGCGGTCTCGATATATCTGGATTCCTAATATAAAAGAGGCGTCCCCAAGATCTTTCATCTCAAAATTCTTTGATAGAAATCTCTTGGTTTCGTGCAACATGCCTATATCATTAGTGGCAAGCAATATGTCATCAACATACAGAACCAGAAAAATATACCTACTCCCACTGAACTTGTGATATACACAGTCATCAACAATGTTCATCTCAAAACCGAACGAGATAATTATTTGTTGAAACTTGTAATACCATTGACGAGGAGCTTGCTTGAGTCCATAGATGGATTTCCTTAATTTACAAACCATATTCTTCGAGTCTCCTGACACAAAGTTTTCTGGTTGCACCATATAGATCATCTCATCAATGTCTCCATTGAGAAATGCAGTCTTAACATCCATCTGATGTAACTCAAGATCATAATGAGCAACAAGTGTCATGATTGTTCTGAAAGAGTCTTTCGATGAAACCGGAGAGAAAGTCTCTGTATAATCAATACCTTCCTTTTGAGTATAGCCTTTAGCCACAAGACGTGCCTTATATCTCTCCACATTACCATTTGCATCCCACTTGGTTTTAAAAATCCATTTACAACCAATTAGTTTTGCACCTTCTGGTAACGAGACAAGTTCCCAAACCTTATTGTCTTGCATAGACTTGTACTCTTCATTTATGGCATCAATCCACTGTTGAGAGTTAGAACTTTTCATGGCCTGAGAGAAGTTGATTGGATCATCTTCCAACATTCCACTACTTTCCTCATGTTCTTGGAGAAATACAATATAATCATCCGGAATAGCATTTCTCCTTTCTCTCGTGGATCTCCTCAATGGCACTGGTTCTTGAGGTTGTTGAGTTTGTTCTTCTGGAACAGGGAGTTGTTCAACATTATCATCTTGAGGTTCCGGATTTACTTCTTGAGCAACAACAGGTATAGGAACCTGAATATTGTCAAAAG